GCCCTTTTTGACTGCAATCAAGAAATATGGATCGTATTCCACAGTTGCTTTGAAACTTCCTCCGTCGTCCTGCAGGAAGTAATAATCCACGCCGGCACGACCTCCAGGCACATCCGAGTCCTCAATTGATGTGCTATGCATGTTGACCAGCCATCCGGCCCTTGTCTCGCCAGACTCGAATCGTGGGAAGCCGAGAGTCTCATCGATGCTGTTGGCCAACCGAATGGCCTCAAATTTCTCATCTTGGGAGGTTGCCTCGGTCGATCGTAAGGAGTTGAATTGGACCGTTTTGGAGCGTCGAGGATTCGAGGATGCAGCGCTAGATCGGAACTTGTTCCCATACTTGCTGGGCTTTCTTGGAGGCATTGCGACGCTTCGCCCGGCTGGGCTTGTGTTAAAGTACCTCTTTCAAAGAGCGGGAGCAGTGTGGAGCATGGAATGCGCACTTGGTAAATGTCAGACGAAACAAGAAAAAGAAGAAAGAGTAGATGGGCGCAAATATAATGAGATCTGGTTCTGGGGCTAATTGTGCCTCTAGGAGGGTCCAGGAATGGCCTACGATCTGCTCTAATCAAATCGATTTCGATGGTCCCGACGCGTTCGCGTACCGCCATGCGCGTCAAAGGTGTTAGTCAGCCTTCCGGAATAACTATCCACTTTGGGGTGGAATCTGGGTATTTATTACTCCGATATTGATGATCTTCTTCGATAGCGGATGAAGACAGCAGTGGTAATCTAGAAGCAATTTACTCTACACAACTATGGCGGAAGACTCACAAGACCCCAGCTCTCTTCCGGAGGCTGGCAGCAACACACAAACCCCCAACGGCCTAGTCGATTCGCAGAAACCGAAACACAATCCGTCTCAGTCACAAACTGGAAAGCTATGGGATGCCTTCGGAAACCCTGAAGAACCCGCGAACGCGCTCGCCAAAGCAACCTATAAGCCCCGAGGCAAGAACCCTAAGGATGTGTCATACTCCGAGATTATTGGAACATTCCCGGTCTCCGAAATGACCACCCTGCACAAAAGACCGTGTGCTCGGGAATCCTTGTTGACTGGCATTGGAGTCGGGTTTGGAGTTGGTGGTCTACGAGGTGTGCTCAAAGGTATAGCTGCACTCTTTCAGTATTGGAGCACTGGAATCACGGGGCTAATATACGCATGTAGGACGGTACTATCTATGGTCTGCTGGAAACTGGGCTGTTGGCATGTTTGCGGTCACTTCATTAGCCTCATATGAATACTGCCGCTGGCGACGAAATAACGAATTGAGTGGCATGGCAGAAGCCCTCGATCTGATGAACCAATTGAAAGCCAAGAAACAACGCGAGAAGGATGCGGCAGAGGAGGAAGCGGCATTGCGCGCGCATCTTGCTGAGGAGGAAAGGCAGAGGAAGAGTTGGACCAATCCCTCCAACTACAAATTCTGGTAGTACTGTTGATTCACGAAAAGGAGTCGTGGAGTTCATGTGGTGTTTCGAAAACTGTATATTCCGATCAATAGATCAAGGTCAAGTGGTGGTCGATGTCATGTCATAAGTCATCTCTGTGTATCATAGCCCTCTGCAAAGTTCATATTGTCCAACCAATCATCGTTGGATACTCCCACTTATGTGAAAGAAAAAAAAGAGAAGTAAACCCCCCCCACCCATATGCCTGCGCCCGAAGAGACAAACGCCGAAGTAAAGATATCCAAAATGTGGCCGCGCAACACGCAGCCATGCTTGCCCCGCTAGAAATTGAATTTCACTCGCTTCTGAATTGCACCTTCGTTCATGCCGCGCAAGTTGTCTAGCTCAACGCCATCCCTCCTTCTTTCGCGCCGCCTTTCACGAGCCTCCCGGGCTTCGCGATTCTTCCATTCTGCCACTTGCTTTTGTCGCTTCTGCGATCGTTCCCACGCAATTGAGGCGGTGGGCTTGAAGCCTATACCGTTAATTCCATATCCATCATCCGTAGGGTCGGATGGATTGTGGCCTGTTATTTCCGAATCATGCCATACAAGCGGGTTTTCTTCAGACGGAGTGTCCGCGAGAGGAGGGGATAGTCGTTGCTTGCGTTTGGATGGTGACGAGGGATTCAAATGCTTGCGAGAAAAAGTTGCAGATTTCTTCTTTGATGGAGAATTGGGCAAGGGACTCGGATCCTGTGTTGCGGGCGGCTCGCATTGTAGCGCTTGGCGGTCACCGAGCTCGCTGCTAGTGGCCGGTAGGGCTTCAGGCATGTTCTTGAGCTCTTCGCTGTCAGGTTTGCATGCTTCCAGTGCCGGTAGATCCAAAGATCCTCGCTGTGAGTTGACAGTCAAGGTTTTAGGGTCCGAACGAAGGTCGCCACGGATGGCTAACTCTCCGAATCGTCCAGCAACTGCAGCGCGAGGACTGTAGCTTTCCAGCTCGTCCTCGTCCCGAAGTGAAACCTCTTCAAAGCTCTCGATGGAGGCTATCGATGTGGGTGATGCCGAGGGGCTATAGCAGTCTGATTCTGAGGGCTCTCGTTTGCGCTTGGGAGAGAAAGATGAAGGTAAGCCTGTCGGCATCATACTGAAAACGGACGTAGTGGGGACGTCACCGAGCAACCCGATGGATCTCATTTGTAAATAAATAGGGTATCCACCACCAAGTTGTTCTCAGGAAACGAAGGTCTTCATTCTGCAGAGCCCATGGAGGTCAGGGCTGAGAGGGGTTTTGGTCTTGGACATTCGGCATTGAATCAGACTGTGGGGTACAATGATCGCCACTAAATTGGCCGCGCATACGATATAAATCAAGGGAGTATTTTTAGTCTCTTTTGTCTTTCACTTCTGCAAGGAATAAAAATAGGGTTTCTTTGAATCTGCCTTTATGCCTTTACTCCGTACACGCACAGTAGCCTACTAGTATTCATATGAACAACTTAAAACACTTAATTGAAAAATATCAGAGCAGCGATAGTCAGAGCTGCTGAGGCAAAAGGCCTGGTAATAATTTACAAATACCTGCAAGCCGTACCAATCGAGTCATGAAGACAAAAGCAAAACCTAACGCCATGATGAAGACTCCCAAGTCCAAACATTTTGCACATCTAGGCCTTTTGCTTCTTCTTGGAGGGCTCGGCATCCGTATCGTGCTTGCGCTTCTTCTTCTTGTCGGACTCGCCCTCACCACCCACGGACTTTCTCTTCTCCTTCTTTTCCTTCTTCTCCTTCTTTTCTTTCTTCTCCTTCTTCTCCTTCTTCTCCTCCTTGGCCTTGGCGACTTCGGCGTCCTCCATCTCGGCATCGCTCTGGTCAGCATCGACATCAAGGTCAGCGAGCACGGCATCCATGGCGTTTTTCTGTAAATTATTAGCACTTGTGTTTCCATTCAGTGGGGTAACTAGAGCTCAACATACCATGGCGACCTCGTTCTTAGTAGGGGCGGCGCCGGAGGAGTAGAATTCCAAGCGCTCCTCTACCTGGCTCTTCAGGGCCTCACCGAACTTGGTGTTGGGCTCCTCGGAGAAGTTGTCAATGCGGGAAGCAATGGAACACTTGTTGGCGAGGAAACGGGAGATTCTGCCCTTGTTCTTGGGGCCAGCACGACCGATGAAGGAAGAGTGGTACAGCAGACCATACTTGGGGGTGTTTCCCTTGGTCTTCAAGGCACGGAAAAGGGCCTTCTCAGCACCGAGAATCTGAACGGTAGAGGCGGGGTACTTGGAGAGGTTGGTCAAGCTACCGGCGTGGGAGATCAAGCGGGCACCGACGACTTCACCGATCAGGGCGGCAAGGTTAGGGGCGACGACGCTCATCTTGGCAACAAGGTAAGCGTAGAGAGACTTGCGGTACTTGGCGAGCTTAACAACGCGCTCGGCGAAAGCGACAACGTTCTCCATGTCAGACTCGGAGATCTCTTGACCCATACTGGTCTTAGCAGCATCAATAATGCTCTGGGCAACAGCCTCATCATCCTCGACAAGGGCGGCAATGTCGTGCAGACGGTCGCTGGTCAGGGCTTGCTTGTCCTTAATGAAAAGGGCGAGCTCGGCGTAGCGCTGGTTGTCGGAGACAATCTTGACGAGCTCGGGGAAGTGCCACGAGTACCATTCGCGAACTCTCATGGAGAAGGTGTTGATGGCCTTGTCGAGCTGATCCAGAATGGCGATAGCCTGGATAATGTGGTTGTCGTCACGCTGGACGGAGAACTTTACCTTAGCACGGGAGTAAGCGTGACCGAGACCGAGCTGGGCAGTGTCCATGTCACCATCGCGCAGCTGCTTGAGGAGCTTGCCAGCGTGGAGACGGATACCACGGAGAAGATCCTGGACGACCTCACTGGTATCACCAGTCTCACAGTCCACGAATGAGAAAGCGGACTTGATGCTTCCTGCCAGAGCCTTGTCGGCAAGACCCAGGACGACCTTCTTCTTCTTGTTCGGCTTGGGGAGGTTCAATTCAAGGAAAGAAACTAGAGTCTCGGATGCGACACCTTCGGAGATGTCATTGATTTCTCCAAGAGCCTGCTTGTTGTTCCTACACATTGTTAGTGGACGATGAAAAATTAAAACCTTTTCATTTAGACAGATAAAGCGTACTCGAAAGGCAGGAAGCTGGAAAGCTCGACCATCTTGCCGAACTTGGCGAGGTCATTGACACCCTCCTGGACTTCCTTCAAGGCATTGCCGACAGAGTCACCTTGGTGAGTGACCTTGAAAAGCGAGTAACCCATAGGGCCCTCGAAAAGTAGGAAATCGGCCATCGTGTTAGGGCCAATACAAGGTCAATCACAAGATAATGAGAAAAACTTGCAACACCGGCCAGAAAACCTCGCAATGTTCAATTTGATGGGTTGCTGGTGAGGTTGGCGACGGCTGGAAATGGACAATTTTTTTTTCTCGCCGCTAGTGCGAATCCTAAGGCACCGAACCGGAGGTATGACGGTAGGTATCGGAGCAGACGTTTACCCGTCCCGCTGATATAATCACGTGACCATATGGATGCTCGAATGTGGGCTTTTTGGCCGCGGACCTAACGTGGAACAAGCGCTCTACCATCCCCTAATTTAATATTTTTGAGTTATTGGACGTGATACCCTGTCATTCATTACCTGGGAGATGTCTGCAACTCAACTACTTAACCCCAAGGCGGAGTCGAGGGTATGGAAAATATTCCCAGATGGCCCCTCAATGATGTGCCCGCACACTAACATTTCACGCAGCGGAGAGGAGAGGCCTTGAAGGTGAACATCGGTGCCGGTGAAGGTCTTCAAGATGTTCTCAAGTCTAACCTGGGTCCTTCGGGAACCTTGAAGATGTAAGTTTTCTACGAACACACCTCACATACAAAGGCAATGGAGCTGACAAAACTTAGGCTGGTTGATGGTGCAGGCGCAGTATGCAATCCCCGATTCCTCTCGAACGGCACGAAACATTCCTTTTCTGATACAAGCTTGCTATGATAGATCAAATTGACCAAAGATGGAAACGTTTTGTTGCGGGAGATGGTTTGTTCTGCCCTCAGAATCACAGCACTTGGAGCTTCTAAGCTAACATTTAACAGCAAATCCAAAACCCCACGGCTGTAAGACGAAATCGCCTCGAGAGTCTCCTACACTTTGCTGACGAAATTGAAAGGTTATGATCGCTCGCGCTGCGACCGCACAAGATGATATCACCGGTGATGGAACAACATCTGTTGTTTTGCTGGTGGGAGAGCTTTTGAAGCAGGCAGAGCGTCACATCTCGGAGGGTCTGCACCCCCGTGTCATCACTGATGGCTACGAGATTGCCAAGACGGAGGCCTTGAAAGTATGTAATGGTGATTGAAAGTCGATTCTCGAGATGGGTCTAACATATTACCCACAGTTCCTTGAAAACTTCAAGCTCGAGCGTCCTATTGACCGAGAGCTATTGCTTTCTGTCGCCCGTACCTCCCTCTCCACCAAGCTCAACGGTGCTCTCGCCGAGAAGCTTACCCCCGACATCGTCGATGCCGTGCTCGCCATCCACAGAGCCCCTGAGAAGCCTGATTTGCACATGGTTGAGATTATGACGATGCAGCACCGGTCGTCATCGGATACCCAGCTTATTCGTGGTCTCGCCTTGGACCACGGTGCCAGACACCCCGACATGCCCAAGCGGGTGGAGAACGCTTTCATTCTGACATTGAACGTCAGTCTGGAGTACGAGAAATCCGAAATTAACTCCGGATTCTACTACTCCAACGCCGAGCAGAGAGATAAGCTGGTTGAGAGTGAGCGCAAGTTTGTGGATGCGAAGCTGCAGAAGATTGTGGATCTCAAGAAGGAGGTTTGTGGAAACGACCCCAACAAGGGATTCGTTGTCATCAACCAGAAGGGTATCGATCCCCTCAGCTTGGATGTTCTTGTTAAGAATGGCATTTTCGCTCTTCGCAGAGCCAAGCGCAGAAACATGGAGCGTCTTCAGCTAGTTTGCGGTGGAACTGCTCAGAACAGTGTCGAGGATTTGTCTCCGGAGGTTCTTGGGTGGGCTGGTCTGGTCTACGAGCACCAGCTTGGCGAGGAGAAGTTCACTTTCGTTGAAGAGGTCAAGGATCCTAAGTCTGTGACTATCCTCATTAAGGGTCCTAATGGACACACCATCACCCAGGTTAAGGATGCCGTTCGTGATGGTTTGCGCTCTGTCTACAACACCATTGTTGATGGGTGTGTCATTCCCGGAGCTGGTGCATTCCAAGTTGCATGTGCCGTACACTTGCAGTCCCAGGCCTTCACCAAGACCGTTAAGGGTAAGGCCAAGTGGGGTGTTGGTGCTTTCGCTGATGCCCTTCTGATTATCCCCAAGACTCTTGCTGCCAACTCAGGCCACGATATCCAGGATTCGCTGGCTGCTCTTCACGATGAGGCCACTGATGGCAACACTGTCGGTTTGGATCTGGTCACTGGCGAACCCATGGATCCCGTCCAAGAGGGTGTCTTCGATTCTTTCCGTGTTCTGCGCAACTGCATCGCTTCCAGCACAGGCATCGCCTCTAACCTCCTTCTGTGCGATGAGCTACTGAAGGCTCGGCAGATGAGCAAAGCCGGTGCCGGTGGCCCCGGTGGTCAGGAAGAGTAATGCACTTTCTCATTTACGAAGTCAGGCGGTTCATGTAAAGTTTAAAAGGGTTAAAGACTTGATTCCCTCACAAAGTTAGGGGCCAAGAGCCAATCTATTCAAAAATGCACAAACTTCACGTTGCTTCTCATTGTCGTCATTAGAAGGGAAATAAAGTAATCAGCGCTATCGTACATAAACAGGGAAGCTATCTCATTGGGAGGATCAGCGTTCTTCTGAGGCAACGCTTTGGCCATCCCCATCAGACACATTGTCAGGGGGCCAAAGTCCCTCAAAGCCTTCTTCCCTGACTGGGTCGTCCAGGGAGAGATGATGTGCTTGAGCCCACTCCCACACATCAGATTTGCAAATGGTGACCATCTGACCGGGTGGTGTAGTAGTTTCTTCCGCAGCTGTACGGGTAGATTTACGTTTCTTTGGGGTGGCCTGGGGTTCAAAAAGTCCCATGCTCTTGAGTGCAGTGATCACATCCTCAGTCAACATACCAGTTCCCAGGCCGAGTTCCTCAACGGTAATGGTCTCGCGCATGTGTCTTTTGCGGGAGCCTTTGGGGGTTGAGCTGGGCTTCTGTTGGTCGGCATCAAGGGAGCTGCCGCTAGGTTTGCCTCGGAGCAAGAATCGGGAAATCCGTTCGGCCCAAAAACGGACATAGCTTTTGTGGCCCAGCTCACTCAGTGGTTTCTCTGGTCCACCGATGCACCCACCATTGGAGTCCCACCCGCTGAGCTTGTAGCTGACCCCCATCAACAACTTCCCAAGCTGCTTGTGTTGGTAAGGCGGGAATATCAGAATGCAGGCAAGGTTATTCGCGTCCCATGAGAGTTTCTCTTTTGAAAAGAAGCCGAGCACGTAGTAGCTGTCAGAGTCATCCGGGTCGGTGAAAGTAAGGATGTAGTACAGGAAGGTTGCGACATCGAAAAAGACTGTCTTGTGGTCGAGGAAAAGTTTCGCGAAAAGGGACAGATTCTGTCCGAAAAGTTTGTGGTTTTGTCCATCAACCTCCCACACTGCATACCCGCCATGGTCGTAGACTTTCGTGCCTGGAGGGGTTATGCGATGCTCGCAGGCGCGTTTGTGTTCCTCAAATATATCCACATCACACGAGTATCGAAAGCACCAGCGACAGACATACAGTCGATCGGCATCCTTGGCGACGAGGTCTTCAGGGTAGATAGATTGGTTCCATGGCTTGAACAAGAGATCGCCTAGCACGACGTTGTTCACGTTGCGATTGGCTGGAGTCTGCAATGGCGCAGACTTCGGGGCCGCCATTGGTTTTTATGTGTATTCGAGCGGCGCGACGTGATATCGAAGTTGTCGGAATGCTAGGTTTCGGGGGCGTTCATGCGATGTATCGTCTCTAATGGACCAGCCATTGGTATTATCGTAGAAATGAGAGATGTAGGTAGATGAAAAGACTGAACACGGTCGCGCGGGCATTGAGAGATGTTATGAGGACATAATTCTCAATTAGTATTATTCATTGTCCATTGGATCCATTCACATGTCCGGTATTCAGAGTTGACGCCTTGGATTCGAGGCGAAAAGCTAATGACACGTGATTGGAGCGGGGGATCCACCAGAGAGCTTCATGTTCTCATGGCCTCTCTCTCTCTTTATCCTGTTGCCTGAAACATATCCCATGTACTTTAGGGATAAATCCGTTGGATTTCCTAAGTTTCTTGAATTTGTTTGCCCCATTCCTTGCAGGAAAATCCAAACTTGAAAAAAAAAAATAATAATTTGGAAGTGTTGCCACAGGCAGCAACATATGAAACTCGTGATCTTTTTTCCCGTTTATACACCTCCCGTCTCCAAACTAGCCCCAAAGGCATCATAATTCCAAACCATTTCATATCTCTATCAACTCTATCAACTTTATCAACTCTATCAACTCTATCAACTCTAGTTTCACGTTCTCTGCTTTTCGATTCTGTAACACCGCCCCACCTATTCGTGTCCCTGATCCGCAGGGCTCACGGGGCATCTTCTCCACGATGTTGAAGCCCTTCCAAATCAGAAACCTTCGGGTATCCACTCAGAGCCAACCCGAGCAGCTTGCGGATTCTCGTGCCCCTGCAGGAGTGGTGCAGATCTCTGCTACAGATTACGATGATTTAGCCTCTAACCACCCCCGCGCAAGGTTGACATACATGGATGACGATGATGATGACGAAATAATCACCGTGAGTTCACAACGGCTTGTCGGTTCTCTATCCTCAAATCAAAATCTCACCCTCTTCCTTAGGTTGGATCTGCTCTCGAGCTCTCTCAGCGCCTCGAGGAGCCCCTCGACATTAATACACAGCTCGAGTCTGTCGAACTCTCTCCCGGTGACATCAGTCCGATGCACATATTTGATATTCGCCGATCAAACTCTGTGACCGAGTTGTGGAAGCAGTTTGAAGACAACGTTCCGAAACAGGACTTGGATGCTAAAAAGAATGGCACGCAAGTTACTTCCAAGGCCATTGTACTCGAAGAGCAACATGAAGTCCCAGCTCCTCATATTACTACCTCGCCATCGGTCTCTGGAAATGAGCCTCGGCCTCTTATGGAAGCATTTGAGGCTGAGCTAGCAGAGATGCTTAATGCTGCTGAGTCCCCGGAGACTCGAGTGCCTCAACCTAATTCGTCACCGACTACTGAGCCATCAGCCAACACAAACTCAGAGCGATCCCCTCATCCCGTTGAGATTCTAGCGGCACAGGTTCTAGAGCAGCTGATCAACGGAGCTACTATGGTACAATCTGAATGGAGATCAAAAATTCCTGACCTACAGCGACAACTACAGAATGCTCAGAAACAATTTGAGACTGCACAGAAATCTCTGCCTGTGAACGTGGAAGCGTCACTGCGGACATTACTTGCCACGGTTGAAGCTCACTTAAGAACCGCTTTTAACAATCTCCCAGATGGTGGAAGGCAAATGGCAGAAGATGCATTCCAAGCAGGAAGGCCTGTCGCTGAGAATGCCGCTGATGGTTTTCGTATGATGGCCTCCGAACTCAACGAGGTCGGAAGAACATTATTTGCCGCGTTTGAAAGCGAGTTCGGACGCGCTACATCAACAGCCCCTACGTCAACTACAGCCCCTACATCGACCTCGACTTCCGAGATGCCAAATCCTGGAGCATCCGGGCCATTCTTTAACACTGCTGCAAACAATGGATCTACGGCACCGGGCACTATGTATTCCCAGACCTGGAACGCGAATCCTTCAAGTACAGCCACAAATGAGAAATCAACAGCAGGCCCAGGCCAATCGACCCCATCTAATACCACACAAACAGGAGAACCTCCCTTCCAAAGTCGTCATGGTCAACCTACACCCGCTCAATCAAATCATTGGGCACCTCCCTCGTGGCCTGCACCATTCTGGAATCCATTCCAAACCTACAATGCACCCCCGCCTCCCTGTCCTCTACCGAATTTCACTTACTGGCCACAAGGACCACCTGCGCCTGCGCCTCGGCCTCCTCCCCCTACGTTCGATGCCCCGTTGAATGCTACACATACATCACAAGTGAAGTCTGCGGAATCGAAAAAAAGTCCAGCAACTAAATCCCTGTTCATTGGAAATGTTGGTTTCAAAGTTACCGACAAGATGATACAGGATGTTTTTGCTGCCAAGGGTTTCCTTGTGAAGGTGGATCTTCCGCTAGATGCCGAGTCAGGAAGACATGCAGGCTTTGGTTACGTTCATTTCCCCTCAGATTATCCAGCTTTCGCTGCGATGGAAGCATTGCAAGGTGCCGTAATTGACGGACATTCGATAAACCTTGAGCCTATGTATCATCCCCCCATCGAAAGTGTGCGTCCGGCGCAGATCTCACCCAATACCGGTATAACCACACACGACACTCAGACAGACCGCCCTCAGACTGAGACGAGCGATGCCGTTTGGTCCCCGCTTGGTGTCAGGCAACAAAATAGTTCATCCAAGACTGGCAAGGCGGACAATCGGAGAAAGTCTGTTAGTTTCGTAGATCTCACGCAGAGTGTTGATCCTGGTCAAGCTCGGACAGAGTCGTCCGCACTACTTGATTCTCCAAGTGAGGACCCTGCATTCAGTGCACGTTTTCCCTCGCTTTTACCCGAGACGAGTGCACAGTATAACGATCCACTGAGTGGTCGGGGGGTTTCCTCGGATTTGCATATGGAGTCTTGTTTCCCACCTGTGTCTCAATGGGAGGCCCAACGACTTGCAAACCGGCAGGAACGCAGCGGAACAGCACCTGTAACTGGTGATTGGCATGGCCAATCACCAAACAACCCAAAGCACCGTGAAGGACCTTCCACTCACGGTTTACCCTTGTATCCTACGCCGAATACGTTTAGTCGACCTCAACCAGCTTCTCATATGGATGCGGCCGCCAATATATCATCGGCCATTGATGCCGAAACACCTTCCGATCATAGCAAAGCAATTCGGGATCAACTTGGCCATTCTTCCGGTTCCAAGGAGGCTGTGCGCCCAGTGGTGGATCTCAATGGCCCCCAAATTGCGCCCAAATGGAGGCCTCGAGTCACTGAGCACAAAACTCATCAACCAAACCGTCGGCATGCTGCGGAGACCGACCAGCACAATCCCCTCAAGCATTCCGCAAGTATGCGTCGTCTTGGGGATAGATCGCGTGGTCCTGCAGAAACAGACACATGGGCGCGTCTATCTAGGCGAGAACGAAATGGCGCCTCTTCTCACGAGCAGATCCCCGGAAGCTTCCCGCGGGAACATGTGACGATGGCTGAAATCTCTAAGGTACTTGATACCAGTGCCATTGAGGCTGAGGATGCGGCAATCGAACGATGTGCCTCTGCTCTTGTCGACATAGGCTACGGGTGTGAACAGGCGGGCGGACGGACGAGGATGACTGTGTATGCGACTATGGCGCATGGTGACCTCATGGATGCGATTGATATGATTGAAGAGGAAAGATCAATCTATGAACTACGGTCTTCGCAGTGAGGCAAGGCACGTCCAATTCTTTTTTTTTTTTTTTTTTTGTGTGTGTGTGTGTGTATGTTTCAGGGTCATCTAATGACCCAGTCATTCCTTTAGCTGCAGTTTAGCTTAATTGGGACTCTTGTGGTGTCATTTACTCTCGGTAGTGTTGAAATTCCACTCTTTGTTTTAATCATGGATGTTTCGAGTCCTCAAAATATGTATCCCACACAGTGTTTATGTCCACTTTTCAATTGGCCTTAACTGTATTATTTTGTTTGATATCCATTTCAAGTGCACGACTTGGGCTATCTTGAAAGACAAACTGTATACATAGATCGATAGGACTGACCCGTTATATATTAAACTGTTGTACAGCACTTGATAATATACCAGTAGTGAGATTGTACTCAGACACAGTCATTTGGATATAAATGCTCCTCCGAAAGAAAAATTTACTACCAACATAACATCCAGTGCTATAACTAATACAGCCAATGGTTTCTAACAAGTAACTAGGATATTATTAGCACAACGATTTCACTCACTGGTCTAACCCTATTAAGTAAAGTCTCTCTTCGCGCCTATACTTTAATTCGAGTGTCACTTGTTATAAGTTCACTATAGTAGAAAGTATAGCCTCTGGACTGCCTTAGCTATATAGGGCTTCTATAACCAGCTCTATATTAATATGTCTATATTTATACAACCATTTTTTCATAGCAGTGGACATTTGGCGAAGAAACTGATTCTCTATATCTATGCACAATGCTAGACAAAAAGCATAAAGTAGATGGTCTGGCTACTAAAAAGGAGAAGAGAAGAAAGATTGATTCTCTATAGACAAACAGGACTCTAGCTAAATAGCTAGGTGAAGCACGACAAACTAGGCACCAAGGCAGGTGACCGTCTCAACAGTAAATACAAACACAGAAAGAAAAAAAAAAAAGAAATTTGTTTCTTCGCCACAAGAATCCTCCATATCATTTCGATGCCAAATCAAGATGAAGGTGACGAGATGAAGATGAAGACAAAAAGGACGCCCCTCAACTAGACCAGTATCCCGATCAGTTGCAAGTATGCGTAGTGATTGGTTCACAGAAGGATCAACCAACGACCCGCTAAGCGTTTGGGTCTTGTATGCCTAGGAAAGACAAATACCGTCAATGTTTTGCTTGCGGTAGAGGACAATTCGACTCTCGGTTCCATCAGGGTAGTTCTTGAGCGATTCCTTGAACTCGGGCAGATCGTAGTATGCCTTCAACGCAGCGGTAGACTCCCAGATTGCATAGTTCAGCATCATGTCGCTTCCATTGACACCGCGGTGAAGTTGGGTGGAAATAAATCCAGGCTGTTTCTTTGCCATTTCGGCATCGATCTTCCATGCAGCAAAGGCTTCCTCCATTTTGCCGGCTGGAATATGGAACGTATTGACAAGCACGCAGGATCCAGCTTCCGGTTGCTCCTCCAGCTGCTTCAACAGTGGCGTCCGGGGATTGATGTCGATAAATGTGGCGACCATGGTGATAAATCGTAAATTGGTTGAGAGAATAGTAGAATGATTGGGAGAATAGTAGAATGGCTGAGAGAATAGTGAATTGTATCCGACGGATTATTGTCACAATTTATACTTGTCGCTCCCCCATCGCACTTATGTCATTCCGTGGGGTTCCTAGAGGCTGTAGGCTTTATTTACTTCTACGATATAGTTTTCTTCCCAATATATCTGATGTTGATCATATTCAGAGTGATGGGTCCGGAGTAGACTCTACCGGTGATATGGTTGGTCTAAAAGCACGTGCCACGGTGTATGAGGGAATTTGTATAAAGAGACAATCTGAGGGCTACAACATACATGAATTATAGCTATATCTTAGAGTCCATTTCAAATATCGAGCAGATTTCCAGAAAGAAGGGGTTTTCAAATCGACACAGAGACGAAGATGGCAACAAGACGGTGGAAAGGGGAAAGTTGGGACATATTTTGTTCTCAGAATCAAGAGCATATGATATTCTACCGATAGCCAAGAGAAGACCACGCAGATAACTTACCATAACTTACCACTGCACTTGTTCTAGCCAATGGAGATGGGAAGAAAAGGAGAAATCCAAGACCCAAAAAACCAGCTACTTGGACAGGTTTGGCACCTAAGCCGTTGGAATGGCCCCATCGGCCTCTAGGGACCAATTGATGTTTCCCACTTCATCCTTTGTGTCGGACTCGCAAGCGTAAAGGTAGGCTGACTTGGGTTAAACCAGACTTTTTTATGCTACATCAGAGAACTGCGAGATGGGGTTCTCTATACGCATTCCTTAGTACCTACTGAAAGGAGAGAGTCGGATTAAGGTACGGTCATTTTAAATCTTGCTATTTGAGTCAACAACGAGGCTATACTGACTATACTCCTTGACATGGGGGTGCCCGATATCGGCTCGAAAGATAACTATGGCTGGATACCATTCTTGGCTGTAAACGGACACACTGTGATCGAGATGCTCCTCGACAAAGGTAAAGTTAACATCGCAGAAGACCGCGATGGTCGAGTCACATTTCAATTGTCTCGCATTATCATAGGGGTTGAAGGTCAATTACAAGCTCAAGGGTATCACTTTCCAATCTATATATATAGAAAATATATATGCTCGCCTTAACCAAAGCTTTCCTCACTCTAAATAGCTCCTTAGTTAGGAAAAAGCCTAGAAAAGATCTAATAACTAGCTCATTATTCGTTATAGTAATATTTATATTTTGGTGTTAGAAAATTCAAAGACCAGGACAGGGCCGGTTAAACATGGCGAAATGCTAATCGGACCGACATCAACGCCGATAAGTTTTCTGGCACCTCCGAACTCACCGATCACCCAACCCACACCTCCAGCATGCAGATATGGCGGCGAACCTTTGCCACATCTGTGGGCAGACTTACCCACAGCTCAATTAATTCCCGTTCTGTCGTGCGATGCGCACAAATCCTCCAAGCCAGCAAGAACGGTGGAGTCAGCAGTTTCGAGGACCAAGAAATCAAAGTGAACGGGTTCATTCGGTCTGTACGGAAACAGAAACGTTTTGCGTTCGCAGAAATATCTGATGGCTCGACTGTAGAGCCACTGCAGGCAATTCTGAAACCCGCGCAAGCAGCAGAGTACGTTCGGCCGCGCGCGAGCTGTGATTCTCGACCTGTTTGTCAACAAAGACTAATTTGAGCGCCTCTTCTCTAGTCTGTCAACCGGAACTGCGATCGAAATATCGGGCATATGGAAAGCTTGCCCACCGGGCAAAGAGCAAACTCATGAGCTCCAAACAACCGAAGTCAAGGTTGTGGGCGCATCGGACCCAGAGGTGAGCCCAACAGCTTTCCCCCAGCTGTCGTCAGAATTCACACTAACCATGATTTCTATGGTTGCAGACATTTCCGATCCAGAAGAAGTACCACAGCCCCGACTTCCTGCGCCAGATTCCACACCTTCGCATTCGGACACCCTTCAATTCTCTCCTTTCGCGCTTCCGATCCGAGTGCATGTTCCAACTGAGCAATGTCTTCCACTCTCATCCCGACGGAGCTTTCACCCAAGTTCAGCCTCCCCTTATAACCTCCTCGGATTGCGAAGGTGCAGGCGAGACGTTCACGTTGGCACCACGCGGTGCTGCTACACCCAGCACCGAGAACGATCATTTCTTCCGAGCGCCAAAATACCTCACGGTATCGTCGCAACTTCACCTTGAAGCTTACGCGGCAGAGCTGGGCAACGTCTGGACATTGACACCCGTGTTCCGGGCGGAGAAGAGCGATACACCGCGCCACCTCAGCGAGTTCTACATGCTCGAAGCCGAGGTCAATTTCATGTCCGACCTTGACTCGCTTACTGGCCTAGTGGAACATTTACTACGCGATCTGACGCGTCGTCTATATAATACTCCTGTGGGCCAAGAGATCTTGTCGGCAAAGAGGTCTGGGGAACCGGGCCAGGATACTAGCGCCGAGGAGACGGGTTCTCTAAGGCAAAGATGGACCGATCTAATGGATGGGCCAAAATGGCATCGCATTACATACACCCAAGCCGTGGAGATGCTCCAGCGTGCTGCCACTGAAGACGGAGCATCATTTGAGCACCCCCCAACATGGAATGGAGGTCTACAACTGGAGCATGAAAAGTATATCGTCGAGGTGCTCCACCAAGGACGTCCTGTCTTTGTGACGGACTACCCGAAATCCGTCAAGCCGTTCTACATGGCCCCTTCGCAGGTCACCGACGACAGCAACACGCCCGGGGAGACAGTAGCATGTTTCGACCTGCTCCTCCCCGAAGTCAGCGAAGTCGCCGGGGGTTCCCTGCGCGAGCATCGTCTGCCCGACCTCATCCAGAACATGCGTGAGCACGGTTTAATCAAGGCCCGGCAGATTCCCGAGTCTGGTGATCCAGCTTCAGGCGAGTCACTGTACCCTCATCTCACCCCGGATGAGGACCTGAGCCACCTCCAATGGTATGCTGACCTCAGACGCTGGGGCTCTGCTCCCCATGGAGGCTTTGGGCTTGGATTCGATCGATTCCTGGGATATTTGACTGGTGTCTCCAGCGTTCGGGATATCGTATCCTTCCCGCGATACTTCGGTCGAGCTGATTGCTGAGACTTATCAGAGGTATCAATCTGGCTAGTGTATGATAGATCTGTAATATAATATGCATGAAAATTAAATAGATAAGAAAGAAAATTTGAAAACAACCCAACCTAAAGCGACATGAGTTGATCCACTGTGTAACCTAGAACTGAGCCTGGTTTTGCTCCATTGACAGTAAAGATACGAAATACGAAGTACCAAATGGGTTGTACTATATTATATTGTATGTTCTGTATGTTCCCGAACGGCGCCACGAGTAAACTCGCCGATTGATTCCCGAATAGAGTCAAAGCAGGGGGAACGTATCCGCAGACATCCGCATAATGGAGCCTCCGTCGGATCATATATCCCAATATGATTAGCCATAATATAACCTTTTTAATTTACCATATGAAGCCAAAAACAAAAAGCAAAAAAGCAAAACAGCGCTTGCAGGTAGTAACCGGTAGTGCCCGGCTCAGCTTACTTTGTACGGAGTATATTATTCTCTTTTTAACCCCCACACCATTATTAGGCCCCCAAAGTAACATGAATCAAACCTCATACTACATAGTTACATGGATAGTTAGTTCCCATGTGATTAATATAACGAGGGAAAGTAAGGAGAGGCAATGATTAAAATCTCATTTTCATACTCCGTAAACCGTCGGATATTAATTAGAAGCTATGCGGAGTATCTCCGTAGAGCTTATTGACCTCGGGATTTACCCACCTTTCTATGCCGATGTTGCGTATCTTGTTTGCTAGAGATTCTAATTTTAAATTGTGACCTCACAGAGCTCAAATGATCGGATAATCGGCAGAAAAAGAAGACGACTGGGGTTGTGGGTATTTATTCCTTTTTCACATTATTGAATCTGCCCCCTGTCCCACGACTCAGCCAAGTGATCATCCTAGACAACCGGCCGAAGAAGCTAGAAAGTGAAACACTGAAGATCCGAAGGAATGCCAGAGTCCAGTGCCCTTATACCAAGCACAAGAAGAGGACATCATTATGCCATATGGAGACATGATGACAGCAGTCTGGCCACAGTGGCGGATCCACGTATGCTTACTCCGTACTCCATATTTTGACAGAGATTCGTGGACAGGGCTGAACATCGAAGGAACCAGGAGTAAGACATTTGACGAACTAGAGTGGAAAATAAACAAGGTTAACAAGCACTAAGTACCGCACAGACAAAAGGAATGGGTGCTTGAGTTTAATTTGGCCGAAGGAATAAAATTAAGGCACAGATCTTGTTGCATTAGTAGAGCGCCAGACGTAGACGATCGTTTCAAGATAAGAGTAACTTGACGGAGGACGTTTTTGTACATGCATACAATTGGCGTATACAGAGTACAACATAGCATTTTTTAAATATTCCGTACGAGCACATTTTATCCCTGATTTATGCACCGGAGGTCCGGACCCCCAAGCAAAGCCAAGCACTATAGTCTGGAAACGAGGCGTCCCACAGACCGAATGTAAAAAAATGGGGCGTCGGGGGGCACTAGCCCTTGGCGGGAATACATCGGCCGATGATTGCTGGAAAAGTAGATACATATCAGTAACCTAATTAGGAAACAGGACAGCGAGACGGATATCAACGGCAACGGACTTCAAGGACAAGCCTCGGCATCCGGCGAAGTCCAACGGAGAGAACGTGGTCCCCTGAGTGGATTTGGTGCATTTTGGCTCATGAGTTACTTTGTCTCGGGTCTCGCTTATTTGTGCCGAGCATTCTAGTTTCAGTTTAGATTTATAGATTTTACGTTGCCACTTGTCCTTATGGATGATTATTTTACCGAGAGGCTATGATTGTATAGTTAATGAAAAAAAAAAAAAAGTAAAGAAAAGAAAAAGATCAACATTGGATTAGAATTGTAATTGGAAAGATGAGTACGGAGTACAGCCTCACAGCCTCATCGAATAAATAATAATGGTAACGCACAGCCTTGAATTAATATATTTGAGTTTGACAAAACGAGCACTACTTTTATGCCAATAAGGGGGCCAGGATCAGCAGGCCAAGGGGCCCCAACCTTACCAGGGTTAAGCATAAGCAAAAAGAAGTTTGGGCAGTGCGCGCCTTGTACTCTGTACGAGTCATGCAGTAAGGTATCCCTGCCTGACGTATCACATTACAGATAGCCTACATACGGAGTACGGACTGAATATGTGATTTGCGATCGTAATATAATTACGCAGTAAAATGCAATTATTTTAGTATGCACGGGTAGGGTAATTGATCCGTAATTGATAATCCAGGATGATTACTACTTAGTATGTCAAAATTACACTCCAAGGCTAAGACAATATTAATATTAATATTCAAGATCAACCTTCGTATTCGGCTTCAAAAACCCCCCGAGGAAATACATAATGCATTCCGCCACATGGTTTATGTCCATGTACGACGGGGGTCAAAGCAAGTTCGAACCTTGGCTAGGTAAAGTAAAGTAAAGCTAAGTAAAATAAAGGTACGGAATAAACGTTAACCATAAACTTGCAGCCACAGTTTCCATGGTTCACAAGGGGGAAACTGGATTTTAGGCTTTGATGACATTGCCCCCCCTCCAGACCAGCCATGAGTCTAGCCAACTCAAGATTGGCATCCTCTTGGCATTTACAATTCTTGGGGTCTTGGCCCCAAGATTTACCCAGGTAGTTTCTTGCCATTTTGGGGTAGGCACCAGCATTTGTCGGTGCATTGCCTTTTGTTGGACTATGGAGTATGATATGCTGAATATGTTAGTAAAAAAAAGTTAATATTACATACAAACATTGGACCAGAATGAAATGAAACCCTTTGACCCCATGCAATGAAACATAACCATAATACTATAAACAAAAACTAAATGAAATGAAATGAAAAATACAGGTAAAAATAAAAATAAAAGTACTAATTCCAGGCCTTAAATCACTCCAGCACATTCCCTATTCATCTAGACAATGGATACCTTAATTATGCTAGTGGAGATAAGCTCGTGTGACGTTTCACAAAATTAATTCTTGGCAATCTTTAATTCCAGGGTTGCAACGAATGCATGACAATACTCCGTACAAGAAAACAGATAATCGCACGTCATTTTCCATTCTGCGATGGCTGTTTTAGCGTCGGTTGCCTTGGACTATCCGATTGTCTGGTCTCTGACTGGAGGAATAAAAAAAAGCCTAAAATACCTTGGCTGACTTGGGGCTCTCGGTTATAACGTTCCAAGGTCAGGCCGCCCGTCTCGGACCATCAATCGGAGATTATTCATGAAAGCAAATGCTGTGTACTCCGTATCGGAGTTAACACCTCAGCTACGACGTATATCCCACAATCCGAATGTAATCCGAGCCCATTAATAATAGATTAGCAGGCTAACGAATACAGTTGCAGAAGGCCCACATGAACCACGGTCGGCGAAACAGTCGGTTTATCCCGCAAGGGCACTCTGTCAGCAGGTGAGATATACATAGTTAGCGAGATGTGGAGCTCGATCCACTCAGATAAAAGGAGTCTTCGGATAATCGGATAGCCTTTGGGAGCATACGCAATCTATGATATTTGTTTTTCTTTGTTGGAGGTCTCTTTGATTAGCAACCTTCGTATTCGCACATGTGTTACTATGCTTTTAGGTGTGGATAAGCTAGGGAGCGATGTATATCCGATAATAAACTGGAGATGATTTTCTGCCTAGGGGAAATGAGAGACACCAGACTATCCTAATGTAGCAAGACTTACGGGATCACGGCTATTGAGGGTGGATTCAGGCGATCTTTAAAATTAAAAAAAATTCGGTCGGGGCCTGAGCTTCTACACGAACATTAAAGCAAATTCATACATTATACGTTGTTGTATGCTTCAGCTAAGGGAATAATATATGTGATGACTCGTGCTGTTGGTTATGCTTGTTTTTATCATGCTGGTTAGAAGATAACCAAGGCAGAGTCAAAGTTAAGGCGAAAATGTAGCGATTCCAGCTTCCTTTCTCGACATTGTAATAATCAGCTGCACCAGTCTGATTGTAACTTGGGCCTTGTCATTTAACCTCGATTATTGCCCAGAGCCTATCATCAACCGTTGAGCCATTTTGGCTGTGGCAGCACAAGGACACAGCATAATTGTACGGAGTACCGGTCCACTAACCCTTATAGCTTACATGTTAAATCATACGCACTACACTATCTCTTTCATATATTGGTCACCCAAGCCTTGTTTCTTATTCCATTAAACCTAGAACAAGGAAGCGGTGCGACATTGCACACTCCGTAGACGTGGTAGATGGAAGACCGGGTCAAGACGGCGATGTTCTAGTCACACAGGACGGCGCCATGTGAGACATGTAATGCAGACAATACAATGTATGTATGAAGTACGCTGACACCATGATCAACTCGTGCCATGCTCTTTTGTTGGAACAGAAACACATGGGCCCCTAGCCTTCTAAACTCCCAAATCCGAATCAGGGCTGAAGCCAAGGAGACAATCAGCTGCCAAGCTTAACCAGCTCTCCCGAACCCTAATAGAGTAATCCTTGTGCAACGGGGACTTTGTTGGCGATACGCTTTCACTGGCTTGCGTTTATTCGACCTGTGCGTGACATATTAAACCAAAATAGAGTTATGGCACAAGTTCAAATGTTCATGGATGACCAGAATACAAATGTGGCGGCCGTTTCCGAACGTTTCTGGTATCTTTCACGCCTTATGCGATGTACAGGGGTCCAATATTGGGTCTAGAATGTGAGGCCCTACCCACCTGCAAGACTAATTAAATACAAGGCTACATAACTAGCTGCACGGTGAACATGAACGGCACGGAGCGCAGACTCGGACTAGTTAACCTTATCGCTGAGTCAAGGTGTCAGCGGATCTGATTCAGTCGAATCATGATTTGGCCGACCGCTTGGTAGTTTACCGAATCATGTTAGTTTCAAGCCATTATTTATTGCTATCTTAAGTCGGACACGAGTGATACCAGTCAGATGCGAAGCAGTGCACTTTCTATGAATACATAGCCCGTAGTCAGTATAGCCAGTCGTCAACCCGTCGTGTATTTTCCCATAAAGATCCTGTTACGTGGCTTATTATTTTACGCGCGCAATGCACATACATACATGGGATCAACAGGCTTGAAACCTAGAGATTTCTTGTCTGGTCCACTATACTCCATATACAATAAATTGCATCCATTTATTTTTCACATCTTCTCTTCTTCGCATTATTGCTTTAATCTGGACTAGGATTTTGTCAAGCTTTGTGGTCAGCGCAGTTAAAATCAAAATACACCGCGTCACTGGACCCAATACGAATACGAGTCACGAGGATATGGCCACAGTGGCTTCTTTTTATGGATTCTATCATTTTTAGCCTATGGGATATCGGATATCGGATATAAATTAAAATACTTGGCTAGATTCGCTAAGATCAACCTTGTTTGGATATGACTCGTATGTGACTTTCCGCCAAGGGATAGGGATAGGGTACTGGATTAAGCCACATCGGACAGGACCGCCCAAACCCTGTTTTTGCTATTATTAATCAATGGGGGGATCCCCGGTTGCATTGGGTGCTAAAGCCCGATAGTCAAGTGGGTTTGTTTCTCCTTGTTTCTCTTCTCTGGTAGGTTAAAAAAAAAAAAAATACTATATACTAGGCGACACTTTTGTCTAAGAACGGCAACTATTGGAATTAAGCTTACCGAGTCTGATTGGAAGTCCGGAATGTAATACATATATATTTAACGACGTTGTGCACGATTTAGGTTTATCTGAAGGACAATCAAAGCTCCACTACTCCGTACAATATACATAGTTGATGAGGTTTCCCCCCTTTGCCAAGAATGAAAATAAATCGAAGTGGAGGAGGGGTGGATATGACCTCTGTAAGCGAGCATAAAGTTCAGCGCCGGCCTCCTCGTGTTGGATTAAGCTTAAGAGTTCCGCACTAACCTTTTTTGCGACCAGAGCGCCACTTTTCTGACACAGACCATTTTATGTGTAAACCTTTTTTTTTTTTTTGGCATGTAGTATTTATTTTTATTTATGCATTATTACCATACAGAGTACGGAATAGTTACATTGTACTCTATCTATTATTAATGTTGATCCTTTGTTCTATCCTTTTTCTCTATCCATTTTAGTTTAATCTATCAGGAATGGGGCCTTTGAAGGGGGCCAAATTAACCTTACTGCCTTCCAAGGTTTTCCAAACCCCGTAAAGCCGAGCCAAGAATTGCCATGGAATTAAGTCAACACCAAAAAAATAAAAATAAAAAATAAAAAATGCTGTTTCAGTCCCCGTAACAGGAGAATTAAATATAAATTTCAATTCTATAGTAATTATTAGGTCTGTCGAATCACTTTAAATATCAATGACGTGATTATATAATTATACTTTTTAACACATTTACATTCACATTTACACTACACATAAATTACCTAGGCTACACAATATTGAAGCCTTTGTACGGAGTACATGTACATACTCCGTATAGCTGTGCCACTTCAGCCCCATGTCGGGACTCATCTCCTTTTCCAAGGTTCCCATGCATAAATAGTTTAGATTTCAAAGAGATTCATTATTCCCATGTGTACGGAGTATTACCGAATCTAAGATAAACTGGATAAGCCAAATAAATTAAAAAATAAAGTAATTAGAGTAAAATAAATTAATAATTCTTCTCTTCATCCTTGGAACCTCGGCGTTTAACAAGTTCCGTTCGATCTTTTCGCTTGGATCGCTTGGCCCGCTCTTCTTCTCTCCGCTTCCCTTATTTAACCTTCTTTTTTATGATTTCTTCATTGTTTCTTATAAAGCTTTGGGGCCATAAAGATTTTTCCCTCTTTTTTCCCCTTCTTTTCTTTTCCCCTTCTTCTTCCAGCTTCCAGCTTCCCCTCTTTCTCTCTCTATTTTTTATTTCAAAAAAGTTCCCGAGACAAGAACAGCTAAGCCATTCCTTCAAAAACTTTGTGGAGTCATAAAGTAGGTCCCCCACTATCTCTCTGTCTCTTTGTGTTTTTCCAGCCTTGGCTCTCTCCCTTGTCTGTTCGGCATTCCTACGCCTTCAAGCCCACTTGCTCCACATCAGTCTTACAGTTCTCTTTTGATCTTCCATTTTGGGACAAAGTCTTGAATCAGATAAAAAAAAGGCAAAAAAGAGAAAGAAAAAAAGAAAAAAGAAAAAGACCTGGTCTAACCGCCTTGGGTGACGTAAAAGCTCGGCCTTTACCCACCCACACCGGTCTACAGGCTACCCCATACTGACTCGGATCCTGGTTCCTTTTATATTTGGACCTGAACCCTATTTTCTTCCTCTCCACTTGTGCCTCTTTTCTTTTCCCTTAGATCTAACTCTTCCCTCTGTCAGAGACCTTTCGTACTCCCTCTACCCTTAAAAACCCTTCTATCCTTCAACCTGGCAATCAGACCAAATCAACCGGGGTCGTCGGTTGACTCGAGAGCTTGGATGGAGACGTACTACGGACACGTCCGCACACCTGCGGACGCTATTATTCTTTTCGAGGCTTGCCGAATCGGCCTTCTACCTCGCGTGCAAAGACGATTATCAGAGAAAGAGCGACAATCGATACGTTCCGGTTCGGTATTTGTATGGGACGAGCGAGAAGCCGGTATGCGGCGATGGACCGACGGGAAGTCATGGAGTGCCAGCCGTGTATCTGGTAGCTTTTTGACTTATCGCGAAATGGAAGGCAAGCGCGGAGGTGGCAGTGTCTCTCAGGGCTCTGCGTCCCGAGGAGGCAAGACACCTGAGAGTCGGGGAAGTGACGATGAGCGCGCCGATGGAACAGACGAGGGACCCGATGGATATCGTTACAAACCAGATGGTTTGATGAAGCAGTCTTTCAGTATCACGACATCCAACGGTCAACACTTGCATCTGATCAGCTACTATTCACGATCCCACCCTTCTGCCGCCAACCTACAACAACCAACTTCCGATCCTGCGCTGCGTCATGTTCGACCCCAGAAAGGTCTCTACCCCGAGTCGACAGTTAATGATCAGCAAAATCTCCCTGTCGTTACCCGTGGACCTATGGCTGGCGCTGCTTACCCTATTACTCCTCATCCCCTCGGCGCATACCCACGCGTCACTCATACACAGCCATACCCGCCTGCCTATGCTTGGCCACCCACCCCTCTAGCCACACCACCGACTGTCTCGGTTCAATATGGCCCTGGTCCTTCATATCTCCCCCAGTAGGTGCCAATGGACATCCTCATTATGGCCCGCCACATCATCAGCCTCCACCCCATCAACATAGCGGTGGACTCCCACCACCTCCACACGGGATGACGGGCCCATATGATCGTCCACCTCATATGGAATCAACCTTACCTCCAGCTGGACCGCCACCACAACAACAACAACCAGGCTACATGAACCGGTCGCCGCGGTCGATACACGAGCAAGCTCAGGCCCATGCCCACGCACACGCCCAAGCTCAGGCCCACGCTCACCAGGCTCAGGCTCAAGCTCAGGCCCACGCCCACGCCCAAGAGCAACGCACCCCACCGGTCTATGGAAATGCGCTAGTTGATCCTCGCGTGGCATCGCCACGCGCACCAGTCCAGTCGCTGGGGCAGTCAAATGGACATGCCCACAGTCCTCACTTAGTGAAGCAAGAGCATCCTGCCGCGTTGCCCTCTCTGAACCCTATTGCCGTGTCACCGAAGTCTTCTGATCCCTCGGGTGCTGGAAATGCAGTTCCCGGCATCAACTCATTAATGAACGGTGCAGCGCTGGCTCCTCTTTCCTCAACTGCCTCTCCCGGTGGGCCCGCACAGAGCTCAAACGGAACCTCCGCACAGAGCTCTTTCGCCGAGGGACCACGGGATATCCCCAATGAGAAGATCGGATTCGGAGGCGAGGATACAAGGGCGCTGCGCCAGCTGGACCGCGCCTTCATTGCATGAAGCATTTGATCAAGCGGTTATTTGATGCATCCACTCAACCGATGAAAACAAAGAAAAAAAAATACATCTCACACCTGAGCCCATTCACATGGTTGATGCTCAGCTTAACCTCACGCTTTTTCTTCATGTCCATGTTTCTTTACTAGCCGTGGCTCCAGGGGAGTCTTGCTGTTTCAGTGATATCCTTTGTTTTAAATTTGTATTTGTCATTATTAGCATCTTGCATGGGTCGGGGTAGTTCGATTTCCTTATTTTTTTTTTTTTTTTTCCTTTTTTTTCATGTGATAGGGTCGTGGCTACGGTTCAATTGAACCTCTTGCATTGGGATCGGTCTACATGGTTGGGATACGGCTTTTATTTTTTAAATGGGCTACTTGTGTCTTGTCAATTGACTTGCTTCTATCCTATGAGAATTGTACTGTGCTCTTCGTATGCATCACTGTGTAGAAAAAATGTTGTAGGCATCTTAGAACTGGTTTGAAATGTATCGCCAGTACTCATTGCTTTCACGCCACATGCTACTACGTGTGTATATGTAGCGCAGCTCTACATACTGGCTCTTCTTGCTAGTAGGCGTGAAGGATCATCAAGCTATGTTGCTTCAGCCTTGGCTCCTCCGACTCCCACTAGCCAGGGCTAATACCTAGAACCTCACCTCTTTCAGGTGTACCTGGGCAATGGGAATGATAAAACGATACCCAAGACCAGTAATTGTGATGTCGACCCCGATGGATATGGGTATTGTACTTTGTTGACCAGAGTGTCCGTCCCAAGCGAGGTGTGATGATGATTCCCTTTTAACGATCTTCTGACATTCCCGACCCCTGGGCAGTCTTACAAATGGCTGTCTCGCTTCGTGGATCATGCTGTTTCTCTGTTTGAATCATTTTATTAAACCACCAAAGATTTATCTAAGAAAGATTTGTTTAAATCCCACCGTCATAGTCTCTCACGTTGCTTGTTATTCCCTGGCCCGAACTAACCCCGTGATCTGGGATGCCCTTCGTGGGAACAAGAATTGTCATCTCCGACGAAATATTATTGGCCGTTCGTTTGACTTTGTTGGGAGACTTTATTGAAAGCCAGGTATTCTTGCAGATCTCCCATGGCGTACGCCGGAAGAGACTCGTAGGCCGTTCATCCGGTGCGAGGTATAACATTAGCCTCAAAATAACCCAAATAGAATCGTTGAGAGCTTCCCTCCAGAGCCTTTCCCGGGCCGAGTATGTGCATATTGGTCATGCAAAGTCAGCATTGCCGAACGACTATCTCATGAACACCTTAGTTCCGAGGAGATATGAATTTCTGATCTGTCAACTCGATGGTACGAATCCTTCGAAAGAGTCTGCAGTGCAAAACTCAATTCCGCAGGACTATAATTTGCTTAAAATTCAGTCTCAAAATATTTTATTCTGCAGACTACTGGTGGGAGATATGTGAGGGTTATATCAAGCTCATGAAACTAGGCAAGGCATATATGTTCACAACGCAACAGAAGAGCCCTGGATATCATGGTAGCCCAACGCCGGAAAGGGCTCCATAGTGATCGTCGAGTATACCCTTGTCCAATTTGAACCGGTTAGGTATTGAACGGTGTATCCAGGCTACGTTCTCCGTTGAACTAGTGAAGTGTGTGCATGATCCATCCGTCCATCGCTGCAATACTAGGCGTCACCGTCGAATTAAAATCAATTGAAATATCTACCTAGTAAACGAATTTCGTGCTCCTGTTACTCAATGTTTTGATTCTCTGATAGCATTACTCACGCGTTCTGGACTAATAATTATTCAAATCAGCTTCCGCGATATGTCTGTATGCCTGGTTCTAAAAATATTATAGATATTCGCTTGGTGAATGAAGGTTTATTCCGTGTCAGTTCTGTTTCAGCTATGGTTTCCAAACAGAAGCGATTATTTTGGTTTATAATGGCATTGTCTTGTGTTAGATCATAGTGCGCGGTATATCCATGGATGACTATGGGAGTGACAGTCGATCACTGCACTTAGGGTTTACTTTGAAACAGAGACTGAGTCAATACTGGACAATTCTGGATTCCATACTTATTTTGGGCGACCAACAAAGTATACATCGATTCAGTCTCCCCGGATACGAGGCTACACTTAAAGTTGATGTATCGAAGGTAACTTTGAGAGAACGGGGAAATAGGTGGCCTGGTTCACATGAGAACTAACTAAAACAATTTCTGCCCGTCTGGTCGAATACGACGTGATCGTGAAGGAAAAGCCCAAGAATAGCGACCTCATACTATTTCCTTGTAACATAGGTATACATTTTGTTTACGTCTCGTTATCTTAATTTCAAGAAAAATTGACGTTCAAAATATACTGCTATCTGTTAGAGTGCCGACGCTATACAGAGCTGTCGTGATCATACCGAGAGAGCCAAGGTCAGTTTTTTCGTCAGGATATGAGAAGCTCGAAAACCGAGGAATATTTCGGCCCTTGCAGAGCTTTGAAGAGTAATTCGGAGAGCTCACACCCACAATATGGTTCTACATAGCCCTAATAAGCCCGTACAAAGGTATTCAAGCTACCGGCCATATAAAACAAGTACATCCAAGAATGGCGATATACATTCATTCCGAGATATCTGATTCTATGGAATTTGCTATATTTTATCGAGGTAGTGTAGACACTATATCAAGTTCCATAAACTATTAGTTATTCTGAGCTTTGTGTCTCTTGCTACCAAGGGATGCTTCTTAGTGACTGAGAGATCTATCAGAATGCGGTCCTGAGGGTGGATTGTGTGGCTCATTCAATACACTGAGAGAACATGTTCGGACTGCGACTGGATTTTGTGCGTCTTGACTGTTATGTTCATGCACCCTAATCTCAATGTAAGCCTATTCCTCCCATCTGGTATGATTGTATACCCCGAGAATATGCGAGACAATCTCCTTGATAGAATGAAAGCTTCCGACGACATCCTAGGTGACGTAAAGAAGAACAGCAGTGCTTCTCTTTGAGCTGCTAGGTTGGACAGATATATGAACAACCTGAGATTCTGAGACCACCCAGAGCAGATGGGGGATATATGTCTCATGAGCATCAAGCAACAAGACTTCCCACTAGTCGCTCTCGCACAGGGGATGGATAGATTCTGCGCAGACCATGACAATATCTCCGAGATCTGGCATCGTTTCAAGAATTGGTAAACGCAGAGTGGGTGTAGCCAATTAAGCCAAAGGAATTCGTCAGCCCTATGTCCGGAATTCGATAACCGGAAACATTGAGATGTGCAGTTTCTCAACTCTCACGATAAAAATAAGCGAAATAGGCCGGTCCTTGATTGGTCTTCTTTTAGAAGGTTCGGGCGGATCTGGAAAGAAAGAGGGACCTCATGAATATCACTTTCTCGAGATTGTTTTATCCACGATCCACCACTGATCTTGATGCCGATCACATACGTTTTAACCCGTGTCATACGAGAACCAAGTCTATCCATCGCTTGTCTCGGCAGAAGTGATACCTTTGATTTCTCTTACCTAAGTTGAATGGGGCTGTTCAGATAATCTCCTGATTCAGTGGCCGTGAGAAGGTCAAGGAAGCATATAGGGATTGTTATGTAGTTGCCTAGGTAGTATCGGTTGCCTGGTTTGTCAGGCTTGCCCGAGTTTTGCTCGACCAGCTACTCCGTACAGTATACAACATAGTATGTAGCTGAGTCTTTCCTATTTCGCATACTCCATACCGTGCGTCATAGTTATTATCTCGAAAGAGACATGTTTCAGATTTCGATAGTTCCCCACTAAATCCCAAACACAGCCCGAGAATAATAAGAGCTCGTGACCAACATCAACGAAATTCCGATTGTTCCTAGTTGGGGGCATTTGGGGCTGAAAGAGACCGAACAGAACCGACACTAAGTGGAGCGAAACAGAGGTCAATTTTTTTCCCGTCGCTTATACAAAGTATGTTGGAAAACCACCAACTGCTTATTCCGAATAGTTTAATTGGAGACATGGGTTGGACGAGTTGAATGGAGCCTATGTGCATCCAATAGGAAGGTGGAAGCCGCGAAACTTTTTTTTCGATGATCTGACTAGTGTCCTGCGCAAGACTGCGGCAATTCATTCGATTGTATTTGATTGGTATGTTCAGCATCATCACCAGGACCAGGAGTGGTCGTGCAGTAGTTCCGGTGGGTGCCTGGCGGGATTTCCCTCATGCGGCGAACACCGGTTAAACAATTTCTCCTCGTGTCCATATCCACTGTTGGCGTGCAAGCCTTCGGAGAACGCCCGAGGATGAGTGGGGGTAGCCTGATTAGGCAATAGCTTCACTCCACATATGTACGGGGGGAGGAGGTCAAAGATCAAGCGAAAAGAGAAAGAGAGAGAGACTGAGCGAGAGAGAAAAGTACGGAAAGAAGATGGTCCAGACCTCAGCCTCGGCTTAGTTGCCATATTGGTTTACGCCCTGGATGGTCATACGGCCCTGTCCTAATTATCCGAACCAGGAAGCTTTTTGGTTACTTCGTACTCTCCCTCAAAGTTACCCCGTAGGTATTCCGTACATATCCCTCATTGTCTCGTACCCCTTACTCCTTACCAGGAACGAGACTATATAAATTGAAAGTAAAGAACTCCTTTTTTGTCTTATACGGCCCCACGGCGGGAACAACCGTTGACCCGCCTTGAACCTTGGATGCGGATACTTTATTGTATAAACCGTATACGGAGTAGAGAAAGAAAGAAAGAAAGAAAGAAAGAGAAACAATAGTGCCCCGTACGGAGTACGGAGCAAGGACAGGGATATTGCGACAAAAAGAAAAGGGACTTCGCGTTCTCCATATTTCTACGCTAGATCGTCCATGTACATTGCCTGACTCGTAAGCGCCACATGCCCCGTCATCGAGTTATTGGCCCATATTGTTGGTTCCACCCCGTCAGATCAATGGACTTGCATAGTCGATCTCATTGAGCATTAGAAAATTGAAACCCCAAAAGAAAAAAAAAGAATGAAAATTTTTTTTT